GTAAAACAATGATGGATGTTAGTTTATGCTGGTACCACCTGAAGCGAAACCTAGATAAACCATACTAGGTATTTGCCTTTTACCATTACCAAGAGATTATCAAAAGTGGTTGGCTGAAAATGAAGAAAAAAAAAATTCATGTCCACCTAATTAGAAATGAATGCTGCTTAAATAATAGAGTAGTATTCATGTTCTAAAGACATGGAAAATGTTTGCTTTACTATGATAAAGTATGTTATTTCTCAAATATAAGACTTAAACGAATATTTAATAGGCTATTGTTTTCTGAAATCATTTCTTTAAAAAGAGCAGTTGCAATAGAATTAGGAAAAGAACACAGAGCTACAACTTGTAAATGAAAAAATGCAAATGGCTAAATATATGAAAATATTTACTCTCACAAGTGAAAAAAGAACAATACAGAATTCTTTTTCATCTATCAGATTACAAAAAGAGAAAAATTGCTGGAGAGGTAGAAACCTCAAGACAAAATTTCCACTTCTAAGAATCTATGTAAAATTCAGGAGTGTGTTGGCTCTGCAGGGTAAGCACTGGACTGTGAACCATAAGGTTGGCAGTTAGAGCCCACCAGCTGCTCCTCAGGAGAGAGATGACAGTTTACTGCTCATACAAATATTTACAGCTTCAGATATCCTACATAGGGTTGTTATGAGTCAGAACCAACTTGACAACACTTAACAACATCTATGATACACTTTATATCGTGTTGGTCCTTCCCACACTTTTCTGGGTATGCCACTGTTTACCAATTGGCCTCATTGCATCAATCAAAGCAAGTGGGAATAGAGTGGTCACCTGGTCTAAGACAGACCAATGAGATTTTCTTTTCTGGGACAATGGGATGGGAGTTCAGGGATTCAAGTTGGTCAGTTTGCACATATATATCGAGGCCATGTGATAAAAGCAGAGCTGTCACCAAACCTTTTCTAGACTTCAATCTTTCTGAGAGCAAATCACCAAGTACACCTTTCTCCTACAGAGCCACTGAGTGGTTTCAAACCAACTTTTCAGATGCCAGTGAGGTGCTTAACAATTGTACCAGCAGGGCTCTATGGCAACAATGCAAGGCTGGACTTAACGATATTTTATGTAGAATTTCTGCAAATACTGGCTCACATTTCTCTTACTGTTATCTTTGCAAGGTTTTAGTAGTAAAAAAAAATAAATTGAATTTTGCTAACTATAAAGTTATAGTTATAAAAGACAAGTAAGACTTCTGGCATCTTTGACATGGAACACAGCACAGAAATGATAACAGTAACTAAAAGAACAATTACAGACCAACTTTAATTATGAACATTAGTATATAATGTGATAAGCACTAGACTGCGAACCACAAGGTCTGTGGTTTGAGCCCAACAACCTGGTGAGAGAAAATGAAAATCTAAACAATTGAACCATCACACAGCTACAAGTCTAGAGAGTCCTTCACGTTACCTAGCACAGAAAATGAACTAACAACACAACAGACACTACTGTACACCAACAGTTTACTTTTTAAAGAAATGATATTTTAAGAATCTGAAGTTCTAGACTCAGGATTTGTCCTATCTCAAAGATGCTTTAAAACTGATATAATTTTGCAATTTTGTATTTCAGAATGGCATGATGAAATGCTTTTTTTTTTAAAGTAGTGTTAACACCTTTTCTCTTTCTCCACAAATCCCATCTTTTCTATCATTAAATGAAACTCAGAGAATGGGCACTTAGCCTGAGATTTAACAGAAATGAATATAAAGAACCAAGGGTCTCTGGGACAGGCTTTTAGCTCTTTAGCCTCTTTAGTGTCATCTGGGTCTAAAATGGTACCAACTAATAAACAAGTTTCTGTGGTGATGGGAATACCTGTGCCTTTGTGAGACGCAGGTAGTATGACTGAGGAACTACATTTTAAATGAACTTTAAGTCATTTAAATTCAAATAGTCTTATGTGGCAAGTGGTTACCATGTAGGAGTGTGGCTCTAGAAGGCTCTACACGTATGCGACAGAACATTTCTGCTAATCTTTCTTTAAAATAAATACGAGCACAAAAGTTAGTCCTGCCTCAAAGTAGCCACACTCCACACGCTGAATATTTTGAATTTAGAACACTATGAAGATTTTTCAAATGCACAATCTAGTCGAACTCCATGAAAATATTACCTTTTCTCCACGTTTTACAGTATGAAGTAGAAGCTGGCTGATGACTTTCTTAGTTTCTTTTCTATGGGTCTGAGATAAGAAAAAAAAAAAACGTATCATCATTTCAAATTTTAAGTTTAATCATTTTTTAAAAGTCATTTATCATAATATAAGCAGACATAGAGAAAACAAATCTCATTTAAAAAGCAAAAGTTGAATGACTGCATTGAAAATAACTAGAAATATACCAAGGAAAAAGTTTTAAAAGTACAGAAAAGTGACATATATCATAAGAGCTGTTTGAGTAAAAATACTTATTTTCAATTAAATGCCTGAAGAAGAAACCAACTCTTATGTTCAAATACGGGCACAAAAGTAGTAAGTTGAGGATGGAGGTATATACTCATCTATTAACATCCCTAAAAGCAAAGAGCCCTTTCTGGTGGCCCGGTGGAAGATGATCCAGAAATGCTTATCTACCACCTACAGTCAGGATGTCAGTGTTTCAGGACTACCGTAAGTTTGAAATTCAAAAGGCCTGCCTTTGGAAGCCTCTGGCTCTTCAAATGCCCTCCTCTTTGCTGTCACTGAGACAGTGTCTCTCTGTAGATAAATGGCTTTGAAAGTTGCTCCACAATGGAGACAGAGCAGCCCTTCCATTCTGTTCCTGGCCTTCGGGCCTAGTCAGGGAACCAGGGTTACATGAGGACAGGTCCACTCTATCTCATGTCATTTTGTCATTCCTTTACGTCTGGAAAAGGACAAAGAGGGTATCTGCAGCAGCCACACATGCGGAAAAAAAAAAAAGACCCAGATTTAAAGGTATCTAATTTCCCCCCAAAACTAAAAGAAAAAAATCAACATATTCTCATGAAAAAATTAATCTCAAAAGAAAATCATATTCCTACTTAAATATTATGAGTGAAAAGGAAACTTAACATATGGTCAGATACACAACTTTAAGCAATATATGTGGGAGATAGTTATGAACTGTCTTTTAAAAAGCAAAGTTTAAAAGTTATCAAACAATTACCTGGTTTCCAAACTGTGAGCCAGTATATAGAAAACGCTGTATATAATAAAATATTAGCCAGGCTAGTGAGATGATCATCATGGTGATGAAGGCTATGGCCACAAACACCACAGACTGACCACTGATGAACTCCTGTACATGGCGGGTTCCAATCCCGATGGCCATTTTTACCGGAATTCCTTTTTGCACCAGATCCAAAATTTCTCTTCCTTTTGGGTAGCTAATCATAATGACCACTATATTCCCTGTTCCTGTAGGAGAGAACAAAAAAAAAATCAATAAGAAAATAAGATATATAGGAAGTTAGAGAGAGAAACATATAAATACTATTCTCATCTGCCCATATATACTTGAAAATGTTGATAAACAAAATAAAATAAGAGCCCCAGACAGTTTCACAGGTGAATTCTGCCACCAAACTTTTAAGGAACTAATAATGGAATAAATGATAAAAAGCAGATAAAAAGAAGCAAGTTTTCAAATTGTTTCTAAACTCCCCAAACCAAATAAAAATGATAATAGTAATTAAAAGAACAATTACAGACCAACTTTAATTATGAACATTAATATATAATGTGATAAGCACTGGACTGCGAACCACAAGGTCTGTGGTTCGAGCCCAACAACTGCTCCGTGGGAGAAAAATGAGGCTTTCTGTTCCCCTGAAGATTTAAAACCTCGGAAACCCTATACAGGGTTGCTGTGTGAGTCGGAACTGACTTGATGTCGGAACTGACTTGATGGCACTTGACAACAACAAAACCATGTCCATTAAAATCAAGGAGGTATCATGAGAAGTTCTACTATGATAACTATTACTTAATATTTCATAGCAGACAAGACAAAATGATAAACAGTAAAACAATAAGTTTCACATGACTATGTATTAGTACAATAACCATAAAATATCAATAGGATAAAAAACAAAACAAAAGTTAACCTCGAGAGTGCTGTCTCTGAAGTTCACTTAGGGAGAAATAGGCAAGAATGAACAGGAAAACTGGTTAAGCAGTAAAACCTGGATCAACCTCTAGGTTAACAATTAAAACAGTATCGTCGTATGAGTCCATGCACTGTGAAGCTCCGTGTTGTTAAGCTTATCTTTCCCCCATGGAGCAGCTGGTGGGCTCACACCACCAGCCTTGTGGTTAGCAGTCTAGTGCTTATTGTACAGATGCGATGCCAAGACAGCCTATAGACGCTGAAAGGAGACAAGGACCTTTCTTCAGACCAGGTATCTGAAATTAGGTCTCTAGCCTCCTCAACTCAGAGAATAAATGTCTGTTAAAGGCATCTATCCACTTGTGGGCTTTCAGAACTACAGAACCAAGCACTACAGCAGGAGGGCAGCAGCAGAAAACTACAACAACCAGGAAACAAAATAAAACTCATGTGGCTTGCTTTACTGCGATGGTCTGGAACAGAACCCACAACATCTCTGAGGTATGCCTGGTCACTGAAAACACATTCTAACACTATGTTATTATAGAGAGAAATTTAATCTGTGGCAAATCTACTGTAGGCCTCAGCCATCGGAATTTAGTTACTGAAATACCAGAAGAGCACCCTTCTAAGGTGGCCTCTGTCTAGAAGTTGATCCCATGGTCCAAGGCCTAAAGTATCACTTAGCGAGAACTATAGTTTCCTGAGGACTCACACAACCTAACAAGCCATCATTGGGGAGGCACAATAATGAGAAAGGCATTTCCTGCCTTCAAGAAAATAAACACCTAGTAGCTAAGAAAGACAAGTATAGAAACAATTATGATAGTTACACCGCCGTAATAATTATACCAAAATTGTAAGGCACTATACAAGTTAAAAGCATTTAAAAAAAATACAAAACTCCTTCTGTGGAAATTTTCAAATACTTATGAAAGTAGACAGACTATAACAAGCCCCTACGTAGTCATTACTCAGTTAAAAGTTTCTCTATAGAAAACGAAATGGTTTCTATGCTATGATTACAAGCTATATAAAAGATCTGGTACTGACAGCATTTCCTTTAGGTGATAATGGGGGAAATAACTTTGAAGTGCTTTCTCATACATCTCAAGTGCAGAAGATGCTGCATTCTCATTTTATAGTTGAGAGTTCAGAAATCAGAGGCTGCTTGTTCAATGCCATACTCATACACCCCCAGGAAAAGCTGGTGCTAAATTCTGAAGACCTAGCTCACAGGTAGTATCCCTTCCCTGCCTACTCCTGAAAGGAAATCTCATGGCTAGATCAGAAAGATCAGACTTCAGAGTTGGACAGACCTGGTTCAATGCTTACTCTATGAGTATACACTACCATCAATTTGATTCCAATTCATAGCAACCCCATCAGACAGAAGAGAACTGCCTCACAGGGTTTCTAAGGCTGTAAGCAGACTGCCACATCTTTCTCACGAGGATCAGCTGTGGTGGGTCCAAACCACATACCTTTCAGTTAGCAGCCAAATGCTTAATGGCTGCTTCACCAGGGTTCCTTAAAATTGTCTTTCTTCCCTCAGTCTTAATATTGCTACCAATCTTGCTTGACTGACAACAAGGTTGTCTTGCACAATGCTTCCCTTCAAAGAAGCCTATAAACGTCTCCATCTGATGGCAAAACTCCTTTAGGGCAGTTTCTGTTTTATTTTTGTTGTAACACTTTGCACAACGTCTTTGAACACAGCACAAGATTATACAACTACTTGTTGAGTATTAATAAATATCAACAGCAGAAATTTTTTTAGCTAGGCAAAGTATTCTTAACATTAAAATACTTATGTACCAAAAAGAAAATTGCAAATTACTTCCATTCTAAATGTCTGTGTCTCTTACTATCTTGTCAAAGCGGGGGTGGGGGCGTGGGGGATCTCTTTTGGTCAAAAGTGTCAAAATTCTTAGGAGTTATACTGGAGTTTAGTGTACCATTTCTCCTCCCAAGGAGACTGCACTAAAGTAGATTTCAACAACTTCTTGGAGGTCGAACTACTGACATATTTAAAGGTGTGCCATCGAGTCGGTACTGACTCATAGCGACCTTCTGCACAGCAGAACAATACACTGCCGGATCCTGGACCAACCTCACTACTGTTGCCAAAGCTTGAGTCCATCGATGCTGCCACTTGGCCAACCCATCTCACTAGGGGTCTTCCTCTTTCTCTCTGACCCTGCAGCTTACCAAACATGATATCCTTCTCCAGCGACTTGTCCCTTCTAACAATTTGTCTGAAATATGAGAGACGAAGTTTGGCCATCTTGGCCTCCAAGAAGCACTCTGGCTGTATGTACTTCTTCCAAAAAACAGATCTACTAGTTCTTTTGGCAGCCCATGGCACTTTCAATATTCTCCTCCACCACCATAGCTCAAAAGCATCAATTCTTCCATGGTCTTCCTTATTCACTGTTCAGCTTTTGCATGCATATGAGGTTATTCAAAATACCATGGCTTGGGTCAGGTGTACCTTAGT